ATATATATATAAATATATTTATACATCCTCGAGCTTCAGTCACCTTTGGGAGGGTTCCGTGGTTCGGCAGTTTTAGGTGAACGGGATTTTGCACAAGGTGGCCTCGAGTGAGTCCAACAAGGATCAGTTCGGGATCGATTCGAGAAATTACGGTATGCTTTACTTCTATCCACAGAAAATTTGATCATCCTTTTTGAAAGTGTGCCGCATGTTTCCCACTTGATAGTTTATTTCCTATGGGGCTTTGGCTCGAAGTGAATTCTCTGAAGGACCCTTCCAAAGCTAGTTTCTCAATATGCGTCCTTGCCTAAACTTCCACCTCGGCCTCTAGGGTGTGTGGTGGATTCACACCATCACATGCTTACATGCTCCTCTACATCCCTCCCTCAGGTCTGCTTCGGTCGCACATAAACTTCGCGAGAAGTCGCATCTTCGACAAGGAGGACGACAACTACTTGATCCCGGTCGACTACGAGCAGGCCTATCGCGACAACAGTTCCGTTTTGCACGAAGGCGGTATGCACTGCCCTCCTAACTGGGTCTTCCATGAGTTTAATTGCTTCTACTACTTTGGGGCTCCCCTCACGTTCCAGGAGGCGAGGGACTTCTGTCACACCGAGATCGGCGCATCCCTGGCAAGTAAGCATGCCAGCTTTTGGACTTTTGCAGCGCAATCTTGCGATCTCCAGTCTGGCCAGTATAGCAGAAAAAAGTATAGTACAGTATAGAATAGTTCGTGTAGTGTGATAGGAGATGGGATAGAATGGTGTAGCATAGTATGTCGGGGTATTATCTAGCATTTTATGGTACGATATTTCATAATGGGCTATGATAGGCTCTGATGTGAGTCAGCACGGTATGGTACGGTATCGTTTGGTATGTTATGAGATTGCTATGGTAGAGTATATTTAGTATAGTAGGATATGGTATAGTATCGTGTGATATGATGTGCTATGATATAATATGGTAAAATATTGTATGGTGTGGTACGATAAGCTATGATATGCTATTTATGGTAGTGTGGTATGGCATAGTATGATATGATATGATATGGATTGGTATGATATGGTATGACATTTCATGATTTGCTATGTTATGATATAGTACGGTATAATATGGTATGGTTTGGTAGGTTATGATATGCTATGCTATGATATGGTTTGGCATGGCATGGCATAAGTTTGTATGTTATGGTAAGGTATCAAATGTTTTGATATGCTATAGTATGGTATGTCATGGTATAATATTCTATGATGCAGTATACCTTAGTATCGTACGGTATCACGGTATGACAAAGAATAATATTCTCCGATATGGTATAGTTTGGAATGGTGTATTTTGGTATTGTGTAGAAGAGTATGGTGGGGATGGTATGCTATGATATGCTACAATATGCTATAGCATGATATGATATAGCATGATATAGTATCGCAAGGTATGGTGCTGCGGATCACAATATGGTATATTTGATATGGTATAGTATGTTCTAGTATAGTATGATATGTTATGCTATGATATAGTATAGTACCGTATCGTATAGTATGTTATAGTACAATATATTTTAGTATATTCCTTGTGAGTATGCTTCATACTATATGGAATCCTTGATTTCGAACTTAATCTGCCTATAAGTTGTTCAATCTCGTTTTCTCAACTTTATCCTGTTGTCAGTGCGACCTAATTAGACGCAGCTTGTGCGAAATCTTCCTTTATAGTAGTTGTTATAATCCGCACAGTCGGACATTCCTAAACGTTTCGCCGGCATAG